TAATTATATATATTTCCCATTTGTTGTAATTGAACCTTATTGCAACATATTATTGGGTCAATGAGTTTAGAGGTTGATATTGAAGCTCAGTCTTTACAAAAACGTAATCTTCATCAACATCCCATCCACCAATGAATTCAAATATACACTGTCAAATATAAAAATAAAATGACAGAGAAATCACATATATGTTACCTTCTTTTTACTTACGCAAGACAAATAAGTTAGTTGTTTGTCTATTGTCGACGGACAGGGTGGAATGACGATGGACCTAGTTATGCAGAGGACCGAGGTAGTTCGGTGGTCGCCTTAAAATTTCCTGCAGCTGGAGAAGTTTTCTTCTTAACTGGGGAATTGGGCGGAGAGTTTTTAGTGATGACGTTTTTGCCGCAAGAGGTTTGGTCGATGGTCGCCTGAAATTTTTGAGAGTTGGAGAGCTTGTCTTTGTAATAGCGGCAATGGGTAGAAGGTAGGGATGGTAAAAAGGCTCGAGGGCTCAGGTCGCCCGTGGCTCGGCCCGTAAAAAGCTCGAGTCGGCTCGGCTCGAAGCTCGATTAAAACGAGCCTAGGCTGGGCCGAGCCCCATTTTGGGGTGCCGGGCCTAGCCGGCCTGTGTGGCTCGCAGGCTGGCTCGCCAAAAAAAAAAGAGTTAAAAGGTAGGAAGCTGCCTTAAATAAAGGCAGCTGGTAGCTACATTTAAATAAAGGTAGCTATCAACTGCCTTTTAAGGAGGAAAGAAAAAAAAAAAGTGGGAAAAAAACGAGCCGGCTCGGCTAGGCCCGTTTTGGCTCAGTAAGGCTCGAGCCGAAAACTCGGATCGAGCCTTGATTTTTTGGCTGAGCTTTTGCAAAGCTCAGCTTGAGCCAAAAAAAAAAAAAAAAAAACCCTTCTTCAAAAAGCTCGAGCCGAGTTCGAGCCTTGATTTTCGACTCCCGAGCCGGCTCGGCTCGTTGCCTTCCCTAGTGGAAAGAGAGTTAGGAGATTAGGTTTTCAGTAGGGCCTTTTAACACAACCGATTTTGGCTACTATTGTGTTCCCCCGCCCCCTTCCCTCCCCTTTCCACATCAGCACTGTAACACATGCTGTAACAATTGTTGTACTTGTAGGATTTTGTATCATCAATATTATTACTATCGGTAATCACCCACAAATTTTTCAAAAAAATATAATTAAATAATGAACTTAGTTATCATTTCAACGAAAACCAATTATATATATAGACACACCCCGAAATGATCTTCTAAGCAGCAGTGACTGACACACATTTAATTGATGAATCATATCACCGGTGTTTAATATAAGCTAAGCACCGATGTTTGGGAGATCATTCGTTGGTGTAGTTATTTAACTTATATGACGATATTTATCAAAACATGCTCCCCACTACACGAATCTGTGCGTGACCGTGGTCACATTTAAGGCGCCGCTCACAGTGGAGAAGTCGCTTGCAATTCTTAAGCGGCGGGCAATGACCGAGTGAATAATTGAAATTTAGTTCGGTCTGATTCTATTGAATTCTAAGCGTAACTATGACTAATTAAGAAATAGAAATTATATGTTGTCATTTTCAGTCACAATTTTTTATGTTATCTAGAAAATTGGATATCAAACAAGTGAACATTTATGGCCATCAACGTGGCCTTTTTCCAAATCATAAATATCACATCGTGCATTGCATCTTGCAAATAAATTGGGTATCCAATGCTTCGTGACCTTTTGAAAATAGAAAATATGTGGTTAAAAATAAGTAAAAATTTTGAATTTACGTGTTATTTATTTTATTGAAAAAAGTGTGGTTAAAATTATATCAAATCATTATTTAAAAATGTATTTTTTTTTTCAAAGAATGAGGCTCAAATAGCGGCTAAATCGGATCCAAAATTAAATAAATACATAATGTTTCTATTTCGAGATAGTTGATGAGTCCAAATATAAAAAAGTATCATACCGCAATTGTGTGATATTTTATTAAAGCTCTTTTATATTCAACTTTTATATTTAATAAAAGATTACAAAAGACTTTCTATTTTATCACTGCCAAAGAGGAACCAAGAATTATAATCAATAATTTCTATTTATCATGATAGATAAACTTTTTGTAGATGTTCTTCAAATGGTTAATTGTTCTTCTCGACTCTCTAAATTTAAAGATATTTTCAATAATGGATTTGATTGAAACAACGTTTCAATTGAGTTGTTGTACCATAGAGAGAACAAGTCAAGAAGATAGTGTTGCACCGTTGATTCAAGACTTTCAACATTGTAAAGAGCTTTTGTATCTTTTAAAAAAAAGAGAGATATACATTCTTCAGCCTAATTGGTTATGTACTTGCTTCTAGATTTCTTAGTGAAATTTTATTTATAATTGTATTTGAAGCACAAAAGACCTCTTTTTAAAAAATAATAATAATAATAATAATCTTAATCTCTATAAAAGAAAGGCCGATCTTTCAAATACTTTTCGGCTTGAAATTAGTTTCTATGAAAAACAAAGATCTCCCTTGAGATTGATGATAATTTCAGAGATACCGCTTCATTTTCAAATTTTATACGAAACTCAGTTCTTTCAAATTTTGAACAACTCACGCTTTGCATAAGTTACACAAAGATTTCAGACACACCCATTTTTTTTTTCTTGAAAATTATACAAACCTCCTTGTTTCAAATTTTAATAATAAATACCTCAATTGATCACTTTTCTTTCATATGATAGCAAAAATATTAGTGGCAATGCTTAAAATATCCTTATGAGCACTCTTCCATCTTGTTACACTCTTCACAATAATATAATACCCAAAATATCCTTTTGACATTTCTAACTAAATCAACGAATACTTCGATTTGGAAAACTTAAATACATTTGCATATAGTGAAGTAATGAACATAATTAGAACAATGCTTAATATAACGAAATACTAGATATCTCATTTTGGCTATAGTTAATCACTTCATACAGAATATAACGAAATATTAATGAAGTAACACATACGTAGTGATCATTTGACTCCACTTCATTGATCATCGAGCATCCTTTTTTCCTTGCCAACTTTCAATTGAAGAAAAATGGATAAAAAGTGATTATAAATTTGTAAACCTTTAAATGTTTGAAAAAATGTAATCTTGTTATTTATCAACTTCAAAGAAGAAAGTGTTTCGTTCATAACTATCAAATTTGAGAGTACTCGTTTAGTATGAAAATCCAACTAGAATCATATATCCTGTCTTTCCCGATATAATTTTTCAAATTTATTGATGCTAAAATATTTTCTAAGAAATAAAGGTGTAAACAATAGTTTATTGGTTAATTTAGAAGTGTTAAAATGGTATTTCAAATTATAATAATTACTTTTAGATATTAAAAATAATAAAGGATTTATTCTATGGGCTGAAACCTCTTTTATTGGAGTTCATAATCAAGACCTTTAATTGTGGGTTGCTAAAGTGTGGAGCCATGTAAAACATCAATAATCATGAATTAAGGGTTAATAAACATTCAAACACCAATGAAAATCAATAAACATTACCATCAATTATAGAGTGTATTTACTATTTTTTTTATTCTTTTTGTTCGATTTAAGGGCCTTTTTACCATCTTTGATCATTATAAGTCATTTCAACATGAATTGCTTTTAACTAATATAGTCAATCATTGGTACATAAAAAATGATTGATATTATGACATTAATGAATTTTTATTGAGCAATTCTATAGGTACATAATTGCATTTCACGTAATGCCAACAGATATGATACAATAGGGGATTGGATGATTTTTTGGCATTTTTTTTATCACAACCTGAGAACCACACAATGTGAGATTTTTGTTGCAATTATGTAAAACAATTTCTCGTACAAATGGAATAAGTGATTTTTACAACAACAAAGCCAAATGTACATAAAACATTTAACAGAATTTGTACCGACAATGACATGACAAAGTATAAGTGTGCTATTTATTTTCTTCTATTTTTTTTCATCCTCCAATGATGTCGTGTCATGTGTTGTTTGTGAGATTTTTCTGTCAAAAAATTCTGTATTTTTAGCATGCTTCTTTTTACCAAGGCGTTTTGTACAGGAGTAAGATTTTAAACTAATAATTTAAATATAAAGCAATTTATATTTATAGAGTGAAAAGACCTATTGAATGGATTCACCTTTAATTTAATAATGAAGAAAAATGGGCGTGTCTTTTTAGTATTTTTCACTATATATTTTATTTTGTCGGCACAAGGTAATACTAATATGCACCTCACTCGCACACAATTTTATTGTATGCACCCCCTATCATTCATTGATTTTTTTTTTTCATCACCCTTCATTTACTTTTTGCCATTTTCAATGTACTACATATTTTCAAAACAATAATTTAAAATTTTTGGATATAATTATCGACAAATACTTCTATATTTCGGGACGAGTAAAATTAATAATATAAATGTCTGTAGTAAATGGAACATGTCGTGTTTAATAGCTTCGACAATTTATGAATGGTTAAAAATTGTGTTGTATTGATAAATTCCAAACAAGATTGCATAGATAAACAAATTTAGGAATAATGCATGACATTTTTCATAAATTAAATACGTACTAGAATTTTTTTTTTCAATCAAAAAAATAGAAAAATACAATTACTGTACAGATCATTTCTTATTTTTCGACTATAATTTTGGATAACAATGAAGGACTAAATTTTATTTCAAGTAGTGACGTAATGACGAAATAACAATTAACCGACTGTTATATTCCTTACATGCAAAAACTTTCTTTGCACTTAACTCTCATTTTAAATTATAAAAATATTTATTTGGGCATTATTTTGAAACTTTATTTTCGTTCAATAAATTAAAGATTATAAATTAGTGCTTCCATTCTAATAAATCATTGATCAAGAATTCCATTAAAGATCAACGGTCAATAACAAAGCATCCTCACTGTACACCCTACTCCGAATGAACACAAAATCATTCCTCACCATGCACACATAAACATTTATAATGATAAGCCTCTTCTCTCTTCGTTCATTGAGCCCACTGATAAATTCAATAATACAATACTATGCTTTTGATTGATTACAGACTGTCTATTCCCTGTTTATGAGTGGAGAACTCCTTTTTTAGCTTTAATTTTTCGCCATTAGAGATTGTATAAATGGCAACTGCAGAAGCAATACCGAAGGAAGTTGTTACTGCGAAACCTGAAGCTACGGCGGAGCCACCACTTGCGTCGGCGGCGATGGAGAAGCCAAGCAGTGTGTCGGAGGATAAATCTGTTATTCCGGTGCCTTACGAGAAAGTCGATGATTCCAAAGCTCTAGCCATCTCCGAAAGTAATTATTTCTCTCATTGTCTTCATTTTGAAACCAAAACTTTAGAATTTATGTTTTTCTGTTAAGGTATTAATACTACCAACGGAACAAATCCCAGAACAATGTCCAATTCTTCATCCAAGTTTAAAAAAAAGTTTGGTTCCAATGGAGAAATTAATTCACTGTATAAAAATATATTATGGGAGGATAATATGGAAAAAAATTTTAAAATCTTGACGAGATGATGAGATTATAGCAGATTGTACAGACATCCTTGTCCAATCATATCCCGATTCGGTAGAGATCTTTTAAGATAGATTTGTGAAAAGTAATTTAAAAAAAATGATTAAAAAGTAAGAAAAAGTTACGATCATGCACAAGATTATTTTTATTAGGAGAATTTATGATTAAAAATGAGTTTTAGAAAATGGACAGACTGATAACGAACGCGTTGCTGTCATCTTTTCAATTAATCTTATTTATTATCTATTTGAGCCCTTTTTTGGAAGAAATAGAATTTGTAATAGTAAACTTTTAGAGCTTGTTTGGGATTCAAAAAAATTAATTTTTTTGACAGTTAATTTACTATTTCAGCCATTATATTTGACTTCTTCTCTCATTAGTGGACCTCACTTTTCTCCTAACAGTCAAAATTTATTCTCAAAATCACTCCCAAACATGTTCTTCGAGAATGCTGAGTTAAAATTTTTAAAAAAAATTTAAATTTGCGTATAAAATTATCTATTTGCGATTAAAGTAAATTTTTGAAAAATAAGAGGGCTTAATCAGTACCAAACTTGCTATTGTCATCTTGTTAATTATAGCTAAGGTCCACTCCAACTGTATTTGAGTATTTATGGCCAATTCTGAGTGAAATTGACATGTGCCATATTATGAGGTGACAACTGAAGTTGAGCTTGTCAGCTAGTAGTTATTTGGAGTTATGTTCAATTATCCATTTTTTATTTTTTTTTTTAGTAGAAATTTGTGGTATCGGTTTTTCTTTTGTATAATATCTTTCATAATTAAAGATCCATTGATTAGATATATTCATTAAAAATAAATAAATAATAAAAGATCGTTACATTTCTCGTGAACTCATAGGTTCTCTGTAAGATTTGAATCGGCTTTAAGAGAAACAAATATTGATTGACTATCTCGATTTTGTTGTTAGTAAATATCACTATATTTGGTTGGATCTTCCAAACCATTCTTGATCTGAACCCATCGTTCGAGAGGTTTGGAAGCTTTTGTCATGTTCATTTACGTCCCATTTACTAGTTCTTTAATCGTGTTAATAATATTCGTGCATCAATTTTGGCACAAATGTCGAATTTTAACAAGAAAAGTCGTTTAAATGATCTTTATAAACTTCTCTATCTTTCTTGGTCTTTCTCAACATGGTATATAGTAAGAAAAACCTTTAAATGCAAGATAAGGAATATGAGAATCGAGGAATGAATGTGGATTCCTATCAATATAAAAACAAAGATTATTTGCATAAATGATTGATATAGGCTTTCTTCAAGGGTTGTTTCAACTTCACCTTTTGTGTTGATAAATTTTGTTGATGAAATATGGATACTGTTGGTAAAACTTGACTTCTTTGGTTGTTTGAGCACAGAGGCTCCAGAACCTTTACTGAAGAAAAGCTCGAAAGGATCCCTCGGCAGAGGTAGTATTCGCAATTAGTCTCATTTCATTGACTACAATTTGATAATCTGTGAAAGAACTGAGAATTTAGTTAGCCTGCATAGATTCAGAAGTTATTTTTGTTTCTCTGCCTGTGTCAACATGAATTGGTTGTATCAGAAGTTGATAAAGGGAACATGGTAGAATTTCATTAAAAATACGGACCTAGTAAGTTTATAGATTTTCGATCACCAAGTATGATGATGATCCTGTGAAATGCAAGTGAATGATTTGATTGCTAGGAAATATTTTGCAAAATAAATAGACGTTTATAGCTATGCAAGGTGAATAACAGTCTATAATTCCAGATATCGCTCTCGCTAAGCTTGAAGATGATAAGAGATTGTCATTTATCAAGGCATGGGAGGAAAGTGAGAAAAGCAAAGTGGAGAATAAGTAAGTCTTATCTGCCTCTAGTATTGCATATTCAATGTAGCTGGAAGAAGCATCACTCTGTAAAAAAGCTTTTTATCAATTCTCGGGTGCTTTAATGTACATTGACATCCTATCAAGTTTCTCCATTATGGTTCTGTTTGAGGGCTTCTTTTATCGAATTCGACAACTGGAGGAAGAACTAATCCACAGTTTACCTTCTCAGCTCCTTCTACAAGTTCTTGTTATGTTGTTATCCTTTAAATTTGAGCCCAAAAGAATCCTAGAAGAAAGTTCTTAAGAAGTTTATACTGTGAGATGGGGATATTTCCTTGCCAAATTGTCCAAAATTGCTTAAGCTCCTGTTTGTCTACCATTATTCAACGAAAATAATTTTTTGTCATTTGGATTGGTGAATTTTTGAAGAATGTGTGGTTAAAAAGTAGGAAAAAGTTGTGTTCTGTGCAAAAATTTAATTGTGATAACGTGTGGTTAAAAATGAGTTTGATAAAAAAGGAGCTTTGAAATAATGATAGACAAACTTTGAGTAAATCTGAAATCCCTGCATCCAATATGTGCAAGTGTTATCCCCCAATTTCAAAGTTTGTTGAAAGAATTTTTTTTAAAGGTACAGATTTTACTTAACAGAATTAATACTGGGAAACAGCTATCTCCCTGTGATTGACTGCTGCCAAAAACTGTTTTGACAACAGCAAATCACAAGGTGACAGTTGTCTCCTCTATATTAATTCTGTTAAAAAATTCTGTACTTGTAGCAAAGTTCTGACGGAAAAGGGTATCAATTTCGGGTTATTAGCTCTCATCTTTGGGAAGGTATAAAAAGGAGTATCGCCTATTGCATTGTGCACCGGAATCGAAACGAAAGGATGGAATAATTTTTTTGTGTGATCTTCTATAGTTTCTATTGTTTGAGAGGAAGACTTCTTTGAATGGAACGAAAAAAGGATTTTTAACTGAAACATTGGTGAATGTTACGGCATTATATTTGGTTTATTTGTTTCAAACTTGTTGAAAGTAACTGTTAGACACTGTTTATTCTGTTTGTATGATGGAACAGGGCACAAAAGAAGCTGTCTGAGGTTTCATCATGGGAAAACAGCAAAAAAGCAGCTCTTGAAGCCCAACTAAAGCAAACTGAGGTAATTGACATACACATTGATCTTCGAAAAAATTGTATATTTCGGTTATTAGCAACGTAATTTGCAGCAAAAATGCTCACAATTATATGATCTTCGACCTTTAGTCAGGGTACAAAATAAACATTATGCAGTTGTGTGCTAGACTAGACTAAACAACATTGAACAAGATTAAGTAAAAGAAGTTAAAATCTCATTTATTCTCGCATGCATTAGTGTTCATAGTGTGTACCAAACATGCGTAATGGTTACATGTACATGAAATGGCAGGAACAATTGGAGAAGAAGAAAGCTGATTATGCAGAAAAAATGAGAAACAAAGTAGCTCTCGTTCACAAGCAAGCAGAAGAAAAGAGGGCTATGGTTACAGCTCAACAAGGCGAAGAAATTCTCAAAGCAGAGGAGATGGCGGCAAAATTTCGTGCAACGGGGCATGCTCCTACAAAGGTTTGTGGGTGCATCGGAGGTTAAACTTCTCTCATTTGGTAATCAAAGATCTGGGATATTGGCATGTCTTCCATGTAAAGTGTGTTTCTCTGTTATTTTTGTGTTTAACAGATTCAGGATATGACTTGAATTTGTTTTTTGTGTGATCTTGTATAGTAAGAGTACTTTTGGCTTGTGGTAAAACAAGTTAAGTTGTTTATTACTTATGTCAAAAAGTTCTCGTCTCTATTCGAGATTTTTACTTATTTATGTTTACATATTCAAGTATAGAACATATTGCTCGTCCCGGTGTAGCACCATGGACAGTGCTTCTCTGCTAAAAATTTAAGCTATTAAAGATTCGAGGTTTTTATTCATTTATGTTAATATTAATATTCAAGAACAGAAAACGTTGCTCGTCCCGGTGCAGCACCATGAAGAGTGCTTGCTCAGCCACGTTAACCTAAAGCAGTCTCTACTTGCATATTGCTAACAACCCACGAAGTGTATTTGAAAATGGATTGATCCTTTCTACTCAATTTCTGTTGTAGACTATCTAAATATCCAGCAAAAAGTAAAGGGCTCAAAGAAAATAGAACAAACGAGAGATAATAACTCAAATGGTTACTGAACTTTGTAAAAGATTTTCACGGAGCCACTGAACTTTAAAAATTACCAAAGTCATCACTAAATTTTACAAAAAAATTTCACGGGATTACTAAACTTTAAAAATCATCCCCATTCATCACTAAACTTTGCCTTTTGCAAAATTTAGTGATCCCATAAAGACATTTTGCGAAGTTTAATGATAAATGATATTATTTTTTAAGTTTAGTAATTTCATGAAAATATTTTGCAAACTTCAGTGATGACTTTGGTGATTTTAAAATTCAGTTACCCATTAAAAACTTTTTACAAAGTTCAGTGATCATTTAGGCTATTATCTCAACAAAAGATGTTGAGTCTAGACGACCTTCTATGTCTTTCGTGTAAGATGGACTGCTTGCGCCAAGAATGAATTCATCATACGAAAGAAGAACTTATCTTGATAGAAGTTTTTAGATTAAATGTTTTAACAAAGTTATATAGACTTATAGCTAATTTTTATTAAAAAATGTTGAACTCCAACCTTGAGATCCCCATCGCCCCGCCCCCATGAGAAAGATAAATAACAGAATGTGCCCCAACAAATCAGAGAACAAAAATTTATCCATCCACTTGCCCACAAAGAGTTTAATTTCATATCTCAAGAATCTAACCCTCACACTGCGACCACTAGCAAAACTAATACTACATTACTCATATCTTTTGCACCACTAAATTATGCCCCAAGGGGCGTACCTAATTTTTATTAATGTAGATATATCAGTGTACCAATTATATGATCATTTATTAGAAAATCGGCCGCAGTTCTCTGGATAACCAAATGGTAATTTTGCAGCCATCTATAATAGTGTGAGTAAAGAATCAAGTTGATCCAATAAGGAGGATAGTTAAAGAGAGCAAGACATAATCTACGTCTATGCATATGAAAAAATTGAAATTCATAGATTTTATTTTTCTTTATTTTTACCTACCTCTCCCTAAAAATTGTATTTTGATCAGCAATAAGTGTAAAAATAACTATATATTTTTTTTAATCAACCTTCGTTCTCATTATTGTGATGAAACTGTGAAAATGTTTTACGAAAGCACTTAAAGAAAGTGATATAATTACGCTCTTGCAATGCAAGAAATTGGTAAAAGGCTGACTTTTCCCAAAACTAAAAGACAGTGAAGGGGGGGACGCGGGGGTGTGCCGGGGTGCGCGAGGATAGAACTACGAGGTAATAACAGAAGATCACCAACAGATTTTGCATTAATCTTACAGGATGTGCAAATAAACCAAACTAGCCCCATTGGAAATAAGAACGTCGAGTTGCTGACAGAACTGAAGGCAACTGCAAAGTGAACTTGACATATTATCCCGAACGTACATAAGATGGTGAATACTTTAAAGGACAAAGAAATGTGCCTGAAATTCTGGCATTGTCTGCCTCATAAGTCAAAATACAGTCTTCAATTACCAAAGGCACAGTTTAATATAGCACCGCACACTTGATCATGTACTTCGAACATGCAGCCAGATGTTTCTGTACAAAAAGAAGAAATCATCGAGGACAAGTAAGATACAAGGATCAAAAATTGGCAAGATGTCAACAATATATTGAACTAATAATTTCAACTAGCATACAAATGCCAGCCACTAAGATACAAAATATTTTTTTTTAACAATGCGGGTGGGGATAAGTGTCAAACACGGAACACAATCAGGAAACTTTGTGCATGTTTGGTACATAACACTAGAAAGGACTGTAGTATGATAAACAAGATTTTAGCTTATTTTTCGTTACTAATATCGTCCAAAACTATCTAATCATCCCTACTAAACATGCCATTAATTGTTCTCTCCCAGCACCAAAAGAAATTTCGAGAGGAGGGATTATGATTGTTTTCTTGGAACTTCATATAAGAATTGACACTAATGTTTACCTCATACGTACCTGAGGTCCAGTCGGAACTCAAGAAAAAAGTGTGCCCATTTCATCAAAACCATAAAGTCATATACAGATCACCACACAAAGACCATCCAAAAGAAAGCATTTGTCTGAATATATGATTAACACAGTATTCCAAAGCTGATTAATACAGTATCACAGCTTTGGAATATCTGCATATACTTCATTGCGATTAATACCATAATAGTCTAT